TTTTTTATTTTAAAGATTTATTTACTTATACATACAGGATATATGGGGTATAGGACAGAGGTGTGGGAGGTAAGAGGATTCACTAGAGATGGAGTGGGGAGTAGGACCAGCAGATCCACTGAAATACACTGCTGAGAGGAGCAGCAGGTGGGTCAGGAGAGGTCTGCCACACCATGTTGGTCACTTCCCTGGCTGGGGACCAAACTTGTGCTGCAGTGGCTTTGCACAGCTTCATAGTATTGTGCTCTAACCCCTTCTCTGGGAGGGTCACACTTGTGTGCAGTCTGCCCCAGTGCCTGAAAGCTTGTTCTTAGGATGGGTTCACAGAGCCTTTTCAGTCTCACAGACTGTCTGTTCAATCCTGATAAATATCAAGTTTCTTTCTCATTTTTCTGTCTGCAGTGAACCCAGACCCTGATCTTGCCCATTCAAGCTCCTCCTATCTACAGCTTTACCTGGAGAGCTCACCACTTCCACCTCCCTTTCCTGCGCATTCCAGCCATAAAGGCAGTGTAGTATGAGGGTTGTGGCTTCCATGTAAAAGGCCTGGAGTCACAGAGTTGGAAGCTATGCTTTTTCTTTGCCATATTGCCTATGCTCTCATCTGTGACCCATATTAAGACCTTTCCAACGGTTCCCTGTCTGCTGGGTGAAACCCTATGTACATTTCAACTTTCAAGTGTCAGTTGCTTCATGGAACCTTCCTTGGAATAATTCCTAGTCCTTCCTTTTGTTCCTTGTACATTTAAAACTTTTTGTTATAGGTTGGCTTCCCCTATGAAACTGTAAGTCTCTTCTTGTGGGCAGGAGTATGTCTTATTTATCTTTGTATTAGCAATGACTAGTGCACAGTAACTATTTAATAATTTTTAAATTAGTAAACCAGGCCAGTGCCTGGTTTGGGCTGAAACTAGAATTGCAGCCAAAGAGGCAGAGCTCGTGGATTCTTCATGATGAAAGGTTCGGGGATGCTTCTCTCTGTCCTAATTGGTAGATGGGTGGTGAAGATGTGGCTGACAGTGTCAAACCTTTCTGCAGAACCTGCTTGGGGAATCAAAGACTGCTTGGGGAATTTGTACATCTCAAAACTACATGTTCAAATGCAGCAAAAGAGAGAGGAGCAGTCTCAAAGAAGGGCAAGTGTTATCCTGGCTCAGAGGAGAGCCCGGAGTAGAGAGAAAAAGCGAGTGAGCCAAGTACTGTCAGTAGAGTTTTCTAGTGCTGTGCTTGGAATGCTGGAGAACTCTGGCTCAGTCTCCTCTTGTTTTAGCAAGTGTTGATTCCCATGCTTCAGTCAATAACAGCCCAAGTGGTTCGTGATCCATCACTAATTGGGATGTTTGGCTCTGGCTGGAATTCTTCCTCACATCACATTTCAGTGCTGTTTGAATGCTCCCTCTGTTTGTGCTTAGCCATGTAGTTTCAAGCCACAGCTGGCCTGGCATTTGGGGGATCAGGGAGGAAGCCTCACCCATTCCCTAGTGTCAGCAAAGTAATTGCTGACATGTTCTTCAACCTTTTGCTACAGACTTGTTTCCTCATCCAGAGGATGTTTGTTGGTCAGCTTGCTAATCTTCCTGTGTCCTTTTTCTACTCTCTAGGCTGCTTTGAATATCATTGGTTTCATAAAAGAATTGTAATGCTCTAGAAGTTGTCAGACATAGAAAGGAATCGGCTTTCCTACTTTCGATTTGCTTTGCCTTTGGCTTTCCTCACAGCAAGCAGTACAGTCCTCATACAGCATCTGTGGCTGCTGCTTCCCTACTCGCTTCTCTTTATTCATTATCATTATTATGCTTTACTTATTTCAGCAATGAAGCAAAGAGCTGTTGCAAAGTGTACCTTGGGCCACTTCTCCTTGGAGGTTTTCTTAAGCAACATATTCTTCCACAAGACGGTCTACCTGCAGGCTGCCCTGAGTAACTCAACTTCTGCAGAGAAGACCCCTTCAACACAAATGTCCCCTGCCAAATGAGAGGCTGCTACGGTCCACTCAGTCGTCTCTCAGGGGCTGGAAGGAGGCAGTGCTATTCCTTATTCACCAGGCAAGGCAGGACCCACTCTGTCAGGGTAGGACCCATTGCTTATCCCTTTCTCATTAATTGTAACAAACATGATCCACTGCTTTGGCCTGACAAGAGCTTTCTGGATCTGGATTCTCTCATCCATGTTATTTTCTCTCTGGCAGCTGCCTGCGGTGCCATCTGTTATGATGGCACCTGCATCCAAATCATTTGTAAACACGATGAACAGGCCTGAGGAGGCAGCTGTGGTCACAGCCTCAAAAGACCTGGTTGAACCCGTCAGGAGCAGACACTGTTGGGAGAGACCGGCTGACCGCCTTGCCAGAGTCAAGATGAAAATACTCCATGTTGGCCCTCCCTGGTGGCACAGTGAGTAAGGATGCAACACTGCAAGCTAGCCACAGCCACTTCAGTGTGAGTTTGACCCCCAGCCCCGGAGGTGATCTGCATGGCGTGGCAGACCTCTCCTGACCTGCCCGCTGTTCCCCTTAGCAGTGTACTTTGTCAGTCAGCCTGTTCTGCACCCCTTTCTATCTCTGGTGAAGCCTCTCACCACCCCTGAACCTTTGGCTTGTACCCCAGTTCTGTGTGAATAAATAAGTAAATCTTAAAAAAAAAAAAGAAAGAAAAAAGAAAATGCTCCATGTTTCCTGATCTACTTTGCCAAAGCAGGGGCGAGAGTAGCCTCGTGGGATTTTCACACGGACCGTGTTGACCTCTGTTCGTGTCCTTTTCATTTCAGGTTCAGTCCATCAGGGCGTGACTAGCCCTGTTGGGATGTTTCTTGGAGAAGCCTATAGTTTCTGGTCTTATTTTTCTTTTGTCTTTGCTTCCTCTGGCCATCACAGACCAGACCACCAGGCCTGTTCTCTCAGGTATCAGGGTGACAGCACAAGACCATCCTCATGCCCTCGCAGCGGCATGTGCTTCTGCTGGTCCTCATGAGCTCACGCTCATTTTGAATATGTTCACATACTTGCATTTGCAGTTTTGACTCAGGTCCTCTTAGATTAGAAGTCCTCTGTCTGGATATTTCCACGGGGATATATATCTTTTATATATGGTTATTTTTCATTTATAAAGAATTCAAATTTGCATAAAGTTGCAAATAGAATTCCAAGAACATTCTCTGTCTTGAACCAATGGAGACAGAATTCAAATTGAAGATAAGATGCCTATCACCTCCTGCCAGTCCCCAGTCTGTCAAAACATAACTGTGTGTTTCATGCAACAGGCTCATTCTCCTACTTAATCACAATTACCAGTCACCAAAATCAGGAAGAGAACCATGATACATTACTGTCCTCTAGTCTTCACATCCCATTCAAGCTTTACCAGTTTCCTCAATAAAAATAATTTTTTATAGCAAAAGATTCCAATATAGAATCACATTCAGCTTTTAGTTGCTATGTTTCTTTATTTTCTGTCAATGGGGTGAAATTCTGTTCTTTCATGATTTGACATTATTTTGTAGCATATCTCTTAATTTGCTTTTTCCTGATATTTCTCAGGATCAGATTCAAGTTGTATATCTTTGCTCAGGATATAAGGAAAGAGACGCTATGTTCTTGTGTTGTATTAGGTGACACGTACAATCTACACTTATCTGAGTACTTATGTGATTAACTTGGATCATTTATTGAGATAACGTTTACCAAGCTTCTCCAATGTAAAATTACCCTTCTCCTTGGGTCACTCGTCAGCATTGGAAGGAGGCAGTACTTTGAAAGTAGTAAATATCTTTATTCCTCATCTAACTTTCAACTTCTTTGTTTCACTTATTACATCAGTGTGGACTCATTATCTAAATTTTTTTTTAGTAGATTCTGACCTGTTATTACCATTATTTACCTTGTTGTTCAAATTGTTACAGACTTAACCATGGGAGCCCCTTGACTGGCTTCTGTGTCCCTTGAACATGTCCCATTCTTTGGGTACACCCTAGCTTTCTTCAACAACAAGGTAGTTTATTTAGCCTCCTCTTATACACTTCCCAATGCTTGGCATCAGCTATTTCTTTAAGGAGCCCACTGAGTTATTTTTCCAATTTCAGTTTAGTATCTGATATTTAAAAGCCAGAGTCTGGGCGCTAAGAGTGTTTGTTGCTATTGAGTTGCTGTTGTTGCCAGGCTCTGTCAGTGAACAGATTGGGAGCATATGCAAACACACACACACACACACACACACACACACACACAAGCACATACAGAGGGCTCTATTTTATGTCACTATCGAAAACTGTGACTTTACAGTGTCACCTCTAGTTTCAAATACCATTAGTTGCTTACATTCCACATTTGTAACTCTCATCTCCTAAATGAAAAGCTGATGCAATTTTTCTTAATATAATAATTTCTTTGAGAAATCCACGAAGGGGTCGAGGATGTGTCACAATGGCACAAGGAATTTTGGAACTGACGACATTTGAGAATCGACAAACACAAAAAGAGACATTGGATTTCATCACGGGGGTGGGGGTGAGGGAGGGTGGGGGCATGGGGGGCAAAGGGAAGGTAGTGGGAGGGGGAGAGAAGGAAACGAGAAGACATGCCAGTAGTACCCAGGCAGACATTGTCACAGACTATCAGTGTCTCCCATATGTTCTCAGAGGGCTCATTTATTGTCCCTAAAATTCATTTGCTTTTCTGCAAGTGGTCTTTTTCTTCCTCCCTTTCCCTAGTTAAGATGGTAATATGCTCTCAAATATCATCATTTCTTTCTTTTGTGATGGCCCCCCATATAAAATTAAACAGTAACAAATTGCATACATTTTCTCCTGTTCATCTGTTTTAATTCACAGCCCCCTCGCCCCCAGTCACTGTACCTAAGAGTGATCCCCTCACTTATAGCCAATCTCCTGTCATTATCTTTGTCCTCTTCCTCATGTGGCCGTCCTCCTGGCCCCACTAAGCCCCAAAATTCCAGCAGAGTCTTCTGTTTCTCTCATCCACACAGATGCCTTCCTCTTTCAACTATGACATGCATACCAGTCACTCCTCCATTAGATTCCATTTTTGCTTTGCCTCATAAAATGGCTGTAGGAGTGCATTTTTAGACAGTGAAGGGAAGTGGATTCTGCTGATGCTTGAACCTCTGTATTCTTATGACATTCTTAACCTTGGCCTCAAAGACCCAACCTGGGCCCCTGACCAATCCAACCTCTGTAAAAAGATGGGGATGAACTGAACACCCTTTTAGGAAATTAGAACCCTGAGGGGTCCATCTGGCCTATCTTCTGGAATCTTTTTTATTCTCTTTCATGAAAAATTGACTAACTGCAGTTACAGATCTCTAGAAGCCAGTGGTTTGGAGGAAGCCTTTTCATCTGCTCAGTTAGATTTAGCCAGGGACTTGCACAGACAGATTCACAGGCAGAAAGACCATTTATTTCCACATGTACACATGCAGAAGTCACTCAGAAGTAACTCTGAAAGACCAAAGAAAAAGGTTTATGAACCAACTTAACAAAAAATTGGTCCATATAGGCCTCCAATGGAAAGTTTAGCAGATTCTATTGTGCTTTTTGATATACTACGTGTGGTTGAATTCTCATCTCCCGTGTTATGGAATCTCCTTAATTTTTAATTTACTAGTCTTATGATCTGATGTCTCAGTGGGACTTATTGATGCTGAGAATCTGAGATGCTGTTGGTTTTAAAATGTACCACTGTTTTATATACTACAGCCGAAGAAAAACAATATCTTAACTAAACTATGACATACCGCTAATTGTAAGCTACATCTCAATTTTAGAGATGTTAAAATGTGAGTAAGTGTGTAATTAACACGGTCACCAGTGATGCCTGGGTGTCTCACCCCAAAAGTATGAAACGACTGACATCAGTGGATCTGGATTTTCCTAATAGATAACACAGGAAGGCCTGGGCACCCCCGGGGAGGCACAACCGTCCCCCCAAACCCTTCTGCCGTCTTCCAGTGGACAGTGGACTGGTCACTGCCAGCTGGGGCGCGGGCACCTCCAATCCAGTCTTGGTTCTTGGTTTCTGGTAAGCAGGTTTCAGGGCTGTAATCTTGTGTGTCGGTTATGTGAAATATTGGTGAAAGAGATTCGCGGCTCTGTGCGCATTGCCTGACCTCCTCTAGGACTCAGAACGGATCCATGTGAGCTGCTCTACGGCGTCTCCCACCAGCAACAGCCTGTGCCCCCCAGGATGCTCTTCCTCCTGAGTCCTGTGTCCGACTTCCCTCCATGCGTGGTATTTCCAAGGTGGGCCTCAGTCCCTCTTGCGCGATGGCATCTTTGTCGGAAGTGTCTGTATTGTCTAAATTTTAGCCTAAACTCTTAAAGAAACCTTTGTTAGATTCATTTAAATGTGTAAGAATCAGATCGGGGTACAGCAAGGAGAGTCAGTAATTAAATGTGAAAACAAAAACCCAAAGTGGCAGAATTGCCCCTGAGTACATTGAACCTTGTTCCTTCACCCAAATATATATTTCACCTGTAGATCCCTCTTATTGCCTGATGGCTATCAACATTTTAATTGTTCATTCCTTTCTTGTTTCTCAAAGTCTGTGCCCACCAGACACTTAAATTACAATTTGGCCTCTTTAGAGTACATTGGTCCATCTGCGTTTCAGGAAGTGTGGCAATTATATTACCTTTTAGATATTAAAAATTATCATTTTGGGTTATCTGGATAATCTATGATTTGCTTTTACTTGCTTTTTTTCCTATTGAAAAAAATTGGGCTCTGAGTCAACAAACTTGGGGACTAGGAGCCAAATGTATAATAATTCACCAAGACAAATGTCATATATTGTATTATAAACTCTCTGTCAACAAGTATTTTCTGTTGCTGTCCTCATCCTGCTTACTTTGAAGCATTAGCAATTTATTAGCAAAAAATGTTATCTTTATAACATAGTCGCATCAGGTTTGTGTTTGTGTGCGTCTATTAATCTTTCTGTCAAACACTATTGCCTGGTTTATATATAACTATTTCAAATGTAGACCTATTTAAAAACATATATACATTTATTTCTATTTCTAAAAGTTTTAAATTAATCTGACTTCCCCTACTTAAAAATATCACTTAAAGATAATGCTCTAGTAGCTTTCTGTATTTAAATTTCCTAACCATTTTCTTTGGTATTTTATTGACCTGTCTACGTCTTTCTTCTAAAACAATAACACATAATTAGTACTAACATATATTGCTGGCATCATTATCTGCTTCTACATTGGGAAAGATATGTCCACATAGATAAACGTTACTAAGTATTTAATGCCAATTTCTACTCTTTTTGGTAATGGACCTGATGGTTGATCACAAGGCACTGGAGGGAACTGCCCCAACTGATTATAGATTTGGTCCCCAAAGGAGTGCAGCTGTCCTCTAGATCTAGAGAGCTTTACCATGTTAAAGAAACATCTCACAAATAAATTAACGTATTTTGAATTCTGACAAGTCTTAAATAAATCTGTCCCTGCAATCCTGATTTCTAAGAATCTAAGCATCCAGACTGGGCCTCTGGGTTTTCCCTGTTTCTTTCCTGAAGATGAGAAACAATTGAGTAGTTTTGTGAGGAGATTTAACTGTCATACTGGTGAGCTCAGTGGGATCAGTCCCAAAAAGTCTGAGCACCCAAGAGCATAAATAGCAGGATTTTATACAGTTTGTAGGAGGAAACGTATCATCCCATTCATCACAGCACAAACACTTTATTGTTTGGGGAGGGCGTCAAGGCACTCATGGCTCCCCTTGAGGACAAGTGGTGCACTGTCCAGCAACCTCTCTGCTTCAGCAAGCAGCAGGATCAAAGCAGACTGGGGAAACTCCCTGCTTTATACCAAGACAATTCTCTTTCTAGGAGGGAAGAAATACGATGTTCCCTATTTTCCAAAAAGGGAGATAGGTGAAGGGTGGGCTGGAGTAGCCAGGACTAGGGAGATCCTGCTAAAATAGAGGCTCTTGTCTTCCCAGTTCAGGCAGATCATCCTTGTTCTCCAGCATAGGGAAGTCCTCCAGCTTGGCACAGCTGGGCATTACTCCCCACCCTCTGTGTCTCCAGGAAAACTACTATTGGGATATTACAGTCCAAGCTGCCCCAGGATCCTGGGCAGAGAGAGGCTTCTTTCCTCCTTCCCCTGAGATCACGAGTTACATTCCCAGGACTATTTGTGAAAATGGCCTCCAGAAAGAAAACCAGGACTCATTGGTGTTCCGGCATCAGTGCTGTATGATGTTCCCTGTTATTCCTGGGGACCAGCAAACAGCTCACTCCACATAGGAAGAGGGGCCCCTCCCAGATGGGGGAAGCCTGGCCACATTCCCCCTTTCTCACTTCTCTTCTTCCACCTTGGACTGAAGGGCTGAGGATCCTCCCACTGGCCTCTTCTTGGAAGCCCCACCCCCTGTGGTCTCTATAAATCTGCGCTCCAGGGTCCCCGGAATTGCAGAATCTGGCCTCCTCTCTCTCCCAGAGACGAAGCTAGACGCCCAGGTGAGTGCCCACCGGGGGTCTCTGAGCTTCTTCTGTTAGAGTAGAGAGGAAGAGCAGGAGGGGAGAGGCCAGCGCTGAGGCAGCTTGGGCCAGGCAGAGCCGGGCGGGTAGAGCTGGCAGCTGCAAAGGGGCCCCGTGGAGCTGGACAGGAGCTGCGCCCGGGTGGGAGGGCGAGCATCTCCCTGGGGAGCACATCGCGTCTCCCTGAGGCCAGTGTCAGCCCCTGGGCAGAGTGTCCCTTGAGCTGGTGGACAGCAGGGCCCGTCAGCCTGGTCCTTAGTGTCAGGGCAGTGTCAGGGTATATGTGACAGAGTCCTCTAAGGAGGTGGCTGAGCCCGGGGTCCACCTGTATTTCACATCACAGCACCTCAGTGGCACAGACAGGGCTGCCGGGGGGGTCACTTTGGTGTCACCCACAGAGGGGAACATGGAGTTTCTCTAGTCAGGCAACAAAGCTCTTTAGAGCAAATAGTGTCTGAATACGTGGCAGGTCTCAGGAAGAGGTGACTGACTTGCTGACCTAGGGGAACCTGTAACAGGGAGCCTGGGGTGGGCGTGGGGTACTTTTCTAGGGGCGGCTTTCCCTCCCTTCTCCTTTCCCAGGTGGCCCCCAGGGAAGCGAGGCCACCATGGCTCTGAAGACCTTCATCCTGTCCTCCCTGCTGGCCCTGGGGCTGCTGGTGCTGGAAGGGGCCCAGCCTTCCCGGCGGAGGGAGTCTCAAGCTGAGAGGTTTGTGCGGCAGCACATGGACACAGGCAATTCCTCTGAAAGCAACTCCACCTACTGCAACCTGATGATGAGGCGCCGGAATATGACGCAGGGGTACTGTAAGGCGGTGAACACCTTTGTGCACGAGACCCTGGAGGACGTCCAGGCTGTCTGCCTTGAGAGAAACATCACCTGCAAGAATAAGCAGAACAACTGTCACCAGAGCAATTCCACAATGAACATCACAGACTGTCGCCTGACTGGTGGCTCCAGGTACCCCAACTGTGCCTACCGGACCAGCAGCAAAGAGGCACACATAATCATTGCCTGTGCGGGGGACCCACCTGTGCCAGTCCACTACGACGGCTCCGTGGAGGCCTCCACCTCAGCTTGGACCGGTGATGCCCCCTCCACCCCTCCCTTGAGGCTCCTGCTTTCCCAGACTCTCTCCTCTTTGCCTTGATGGGAACAGCTCTGGTTGGGCTCCTGGCCATCCCACACTAGCATCCCTGCCTGAGGTTGCGTTACGAGGCTTGGGGGGCGGGGAGGGGGGGGCGGGAAAACACGGCTTGTGTGTCCCCACAGTAACCTTCTCACTGCTTCTTCAATAAAACACAGTTGCAACCTGAAGCTTCCGCATCCGGGGATGTCTGTGTGGTGCTTCTCTGTGGGGCTGACACCTGGGATCTGGGCGCCCTGTGAGCAGCACTGGGAGGAATCAGGTGCCTGTTCCTCAGACTGAGCCCCCAGGGACCTCAGAGAATCCTTCCCTGGAGATTCCTTGAAGCCAGGAGGAACTTTTTTTTTTATAAATGCTATTTACTGCTGGCAAAACATTTTATGAATGTTGTTTTATGTATTATTATTCTTGTAAGATTTATTTTATCTATGCATACAGAACTGGGGTACAGGCCAGAGGTGCAGGGGTGGTGATAGGATCCACCAGAGACAGAGTGGGGAGCAGAACAGGCAGATGGATGAAGTACACTGCTGAGGGGAGCAGCGGGCGGGCCCAGGAGGAACTTTTAAGATTGGGCTGTTGAAGACAGAAGGGAGCCGTGGGATGTGGGTGCCCAGGTGGGGAGAGTGGTTGGTGATGTACATCTAGAGAGGGGTGACCCTGTGCTGAGAATCATATGTGGTATTGAAAACTAATGTTACCTCGTTAAAAAAAAAAACAATTTTAAATGAGATCCTGTCTGGGACACTGTCCTGATACAGGGTGACCTGATAGGGTGAGGGTCATAGTTCTCTTGACCAGCAAGAATAGCAAACCCTCAAGGAGCAATCTGTGAAGTTATGATCATAAATTCCCACTTTCAATTTTCTTTGAGAATTTTAGTACTAACTCAGAAAAATGGGTCATCTTTCTTGAAAAGTCAGACATCAACTCCAGGCTTGAGAGGGGCTGTGGGGCCATCAGAGGGGGGAGGTGGGTTCCAGCTCGTGCACCTGCCCCCACTGGCAGCCCCTGCCCACAGGCCCCAGATAAACGTCTCAGGAGGGAGGTGCTTGAGCAGCTGCCTCTGAGGAGGGCGCCAGGTTGGGGGAGGTGCCTGTGCCACCCCCGACACCCCTGGTCTGCTGTCACCCCTGCCTGACACAGGAGCCTCTCGAGTCTCAGACAGGGCAGTGAC